GGACCCACCGATATTGGGGTACTGACTAGGGACTAATGAAAGTATTTAGAAAATTGGGCAGACTAGATGGGCCGAATGGTTCTTATCTGCCGATACATTCTATGTTTCTGTGACCTAATTGGTGTAAGACTCACCGATATTGGAGTACTGTGATGTAATTAGTGTAGGACCCACCGATATTGGGGTACTGTGACGTAATTAGTGTAAGACGCACCGATATTGGAGTACTGTGACGTGATTAGTGTAGGACCCACCGATATTTGGGTACTGTGAAGTAATTAGTGTAAGACCCAGCCATATTGGGGTACTGTGATATAATTAATGTAAGACCCATCGATATTGGAGTACTGTGACGTAATTAGTGTAGGACTCCACGGTATTGGGGTACTGTGACGTAATTAGTGTAGGACCCACCGATATTGGGGTACTCTGTAGTAGTGATGTGCTTAACACAATATGGATACATGGTAACCCCTATATTTGTTTGTTGATATAGGTGATTTTAAGTCACCTTGTAAAATGTACAACTGTGTGCATGTTGGTCCTTAATCTGTATTTTGTTTATATTTTGGTCTCTATGGCAACACCACTACTGAGAAATGCATGTTCTGGGTGTGCCCAAATTCATATTTTTTTTCTTTCGATATAAATTCCATGTTAGCACAAACAAGTTTTTCCCCAGGAAAAAAGTTCTCATCAGGTGTACCTCACTATTCAAGGAATATCTTATCATTTAAAGATTAGTCAATATGGCATCAGAACTATGGCTGGTCCAGTAAGTGTGGGGGCCCATGCACTTAGGGCCACTTAACAGCAATGTATCCTCAGTGAGACCTGATAACTTCCACCCAGATAACACAGAGTCGCACGAGTGAGACGGAGTGTGTCTATCTGTGAATCTGTATGTGTGTTAGTGTTTGTATCTGGCTGTGTGTAGCTGTATGAGTTAAATGTGTCAGTGTGTGTATCTGTGTATCTGCATGTTTGTCAGTGTGTGTAGCTGTGTAGATGTGTATCTTCATGTGGGCCAGTGTGTGTCTGTGTATCTGTCAGTGTGTGTCTGTGTGTTTATTCAACTGCATTTGTGTCTGTGTGTGCATATTTGTGTATGTGCATACATCTCAGCATCTCGCCTGCACTATACAGCAATACATCCCTGTATTTAAATGTCAACACTGCATACAAACACACCTCTGTATTAAACAACCAACGTAAACACACACCTGCATTAAAATATCAACACTACACACAAATGCATGGGATGGGAAAATGATAGATCCCCAGCTGGCAAGGCATGGGGGGAGTTGTACGACAATTGGGGAATTACCTTTTGGCCACCCTCTCGATGGGGGGTGGGACGTAAAGATATTATTGCACCAAAGCCCTCTTTACATTAGTTTCATCAATGGTTCCATGGCCACATTTTAACTATTCTCAGCACCCACGGTATTAGGGTACACTTGTATTGGGGTACACATTGTATTCTGGTAAGTGGTGCATGTGACACATTTTATTTTGGGGCACACTGGTATCAGCAACACACTGTTGCTGATACCAGTGGGTGCTGGGAAGTGCTCATGCCATTATACAGAACACTGGTGAGACCTCACTTGGAGTATTGTACACAGTACTGGAGACCGTATCTTCAGAAGGATATTGATACCTTAGAGAGGGTTCAGAGAAGGGCTACTAAACTGGTTCATGGATTGCGGGATAAAACTTACCAGGAAAGGTTAAAGGATCTTAACATGTATAGCTTGGAGGAAAGACGAGACAGGGGGGATATGATAGAAACATTTAAATATATAAAGGGAATCAACACAGTAAAGGAGGAGACTATATTTAAAAGAAGAAAAACTACCACAACAAGAGGACATAGTCTTAAATTAGAGGGACAAAGGTTTAAAAATAATATCAGGAAGTATTACTTTACTGAGAGGGTAGTGGATGCATGGAATAGCCTTCCAGCTGAAGTGGTAGAGGTTAACACAGTAAAGGAGTTTAAGCATGCGTGGGATAGGCATAAGGCTATCCTAACTATAAGATAAGACTAGGGACTAATGAAAGTATTTAGAAAATTGGGCAGACTAGATGGGCCGAATGGTTCTTATCTGCCGTCACATTCTATGTTTCTATGTTTCTATGTTTCTATGTTCTATTGTCCCATTTTATCTGTGAATACAGTTTTTATTGGGTGCACACACTGTGTGAGATCTGCGCTCTAAATGGAGTGTCATGGACTTTATATTATATGGTGTTGTACATTGTATGGGTAGATAATGAATTGTGTTTTACCATTTACATAGTATTGATGTACACATTGTGAATAGAGTATGCATGTTAATTGGGGTACACATTGTATAAACGTTAACTCCCACTTTCTACAAATAATCTCTTTCTAAATGTTTAAAAGGCCCAATCTCTGAGAATCCTTATCTGGTCGTCTCAACGTTCATCTCACCCATTATAAGAGTCAGGTTCTTCAAATTCCTATTTTACTGTTATTCCCACCCAAACTGTCCCACGATGACGAAAGCCATTTTCTAATTGTGCCAGGCATGCTGGCTGAATGCCAGCTCTATTTTAGGTTATCTTGGACAAGCATTCTACATACGATCCAAGTCCTTCAAACATAGCAGATTTCACACGACCGTCATCATTCTCTGCAAACCATGTGAGTGAATCAGCCCAAGGAACCTCTTTATAACGATGTCCTCACATTATTGCAAACCTCTTAATATGAATTCTCTCATCAACGTACAGCATTCAGAAATTATTCATGCCACAGGTCTCCAGAGAACTTTATAAAGAGAGATTCTTTATTTTACATTAAGTTATAATCTAGTATTTATAACACTTTAATACTCAGTGCTTAGCAATATACCACAGGAGCTTGCAATCTAAGGGGATAATGTGTAGAAGGCAGTGAAATATTGAGGAAAAGTTATTTTAATTGTGAGCACATGAAGAATTCATTAAATGGATTGTAACCACAGATGAACTGAGACAGATGGGGACTCGTGGTTTATACATGAAAACTGAGTTAGAGAGCTGGCTTTATTAATCACTAAGAGAAAGGTAACAGCGCAATGTCACTTTTCTGCATACTGAGGTGACAAGTGTAACTCTCTCAGTGTGCCGCCATCTTCCCATGGTGCTCCCATGAAGCTCCCATGGTGCTCCCATGATGCACCAATGGTGATCCCATGATGCTTGGGGTGTGCTCAACACACTTGACTAACTGATTTCATGGTGCAATTTAAGAGAATATGCATTACCATGGTAACATACATGTGTGCTTGCTGTGTTCATTGCATACACTGCATTTTAAAATAGCGCAACTCACTGTAAGATTGCTCCATCTCAATTCATGTCAATCACCCTGTGTCACAATAACTGTGACAGATCACCCTGTCCCTGGACTATACAGCTCTTTGTCTAATTTACCTGTTTGTTCGTTAAATTGTATTCACTTCTTATGTTAACATTGCTCTGTCCGAATAATGAATAAATCACTGAATGACAGACCACCCATACGCGGAGTGTGCCGCTTGTAGACCCCATTAACCCCTGCTAACACCTCCATAACCGCAATAACATCAACGTTCTAAGCGGTCGGCAGGTTGGTCGCCATTTGTACGTGTGAACACGTGGCGGCAGCCATCTTTAGCTGTGAACACAGACAGCGGTGTTTGGTCGTCGAGTGTATGGAACTAAAATCGGACACTCGACAGCACGATCACAGCTGTAACTTCCACCTCCATCTAAGTCCGGCAAAAGGTGTGGGAATTGAAAAGCATTCAGTGGGAGTAAATTCCTGAACAAAAGACACAAACTTGGCATATTTACGAATGGTTATTGTGACGAGACCAATCTCGCCACATTGCATTGGAGAAGCCTGGTTGCCCGCCTGTTGCCTCTGGACTATGGCCCCATGTTTAAAAGCTTGATTTTCCCCTGCAAAGACACGAAAGACGGGTCATTCGGTGCTTGCCCTGTTTGAGCGGTGATACCCCAGATAGCTATGCCATGGAGCCCATTCGTATAATGAAAGACTATGGGAAAGACTTTGGCTCCATGGCAATTGAACTGTATGTGTGTGCTCTGAGCGCCATTCAGTAATAATGTGCACTCAGATCTGAGCTATCTGGGGATATGTTGAATGTACCTGTTTTGTGCAATGGCTGCACAGTTATATATTTTATGTGTTTTATTGTCTTTTGCTGCCATGTGTTCAATGGAGTTTTGCCTCTGTCCTTGGAGATAATTGGATTACTTCCCAATTATCTCCAGGATAGAAGACTCTGTGGAACTGGTTTTGGGCAGAAAAGCCATGCTTCATTTGGTCTCAAAGGACTTCGATCTATCTTTTGAACCAG